TTATCTTACGGTTAATGATCCAAAAAAAAAAAAAAGAAATAATTAAATATTATAGCGACAATAGATTTTTATAAACGTTTTCTATAATAAATCGAGTATAAGATGTGATATGAAACCGGTGATTGTTATTTTATTTGTTATATTAGATGGAAAGTACAAAAGTTGCTCCCTGATAATTACTATTAGCAACTGTTTTCCTTTTCTGATCAAAATGCGAAGTCATTGAATTTTACCAAGCTAGCTACGTCACTTCTGTCCACAGTTCCACAGTTTCCATGACTTAAATTGTCATTGTTATTATTGTTGTTATTAATATTAGTAAAATTGGTCGCATAGGATGAATGCGGTCTGTATTGTGATCCAACCCCACAGAATCCGATGTTAGCTGTGATGACTGAAGCGTTTGGTGGAATTTTCTTGTCCTTTTCGTTATTTTCCAGCGTTTGTCTCTTGCTTTTGTACCTTCGATTTTGGAACCAAATTTTTACTTGCGTCGATGTGAGCTGAAGTCCTTGGGCCATTTCTTCTCTTTCAGGAGCGGTCAGATATTTTTGTTGCTTGAATCTGCGTTCTAATTCGTAAACTTGAGCCTGACTGAAAAGGACCCTTGGCTTCCTTTTTGCCCTTTTGCTGCCAGATTTTCTCAGTTCGGTTTTTGAACTCGTTACTTGTTGGTGTTCTTAAAAATCAGAAAGACATTCTCAAACCAACACACAACGACAAGGATAACAGGACATTTATTATTGGGCTATCATCCTTACATTTAATAAATTATTTTGAAAATATTAGAGTATGAAAAAATTAAACCTAATTGTTACAAAATTTACACTTTACACTTACTAGGACTTTCAACACCTGTACACACTCCTTCTTCTTCGTTCTTATCAGGAAAAGGACCACAAATGTCACTCAGCTGCTGCATGTGCGAAGACGTCGTAGAAAACGACGATGCGTCACAATTATTATAATTTTTATAAAAATACGCTGCATCAGCTCTATCCAAATTGTTGTAATAGTTACTATAATTGTTATAATTATCGAAGCACTGATTACCGTAATTATTGTCCCACTGGTGCTGTTGATAATGAAAATGTGGGAAATCGTAATGTTCACTGTACTCAACTTTCACAAACTCGGACTTTTCACTATAAACATTATTCGATTGATAATCTCCGTTGTTAATGTTTAGAATGTCCTTGACAGAAAAGGGTGTCGATAAACAACTGGACGATGATGTGGTGGTATCACAACTTTGAAAATTGTTGTTAGTGTAAGACTGATCCATTTCGACAAAAGCATCTACTTAATCACTTCAAAATAATAATCCACATTAATAATGACGCCTTTCGATCACTTTTTGTCACCAACTTGTAAACACACTTCTGTTCAATCCAAGTCGAAAGCAAATTATGCATAGTAGAAAATACAGCATATGTTGTTTCGGTGAAGATTTCAAAATTCCGTCCAGTCTATAGCCCGCTCTGGATATTACCAAACGATATTGGTCCCTAAGCCTACGGGATTTTAACGTTTATTTTCGTCTGGGAGTCGGATAGCTTTAATAGACCAATGCGTAAGGGTCGTTTTCAGAAACGTCCCGTGATGTCATAAATGGATTCTGCATGGACCAATGAGAACAGTAGCTAGTGTTAATATTTGGAAACGTAATTGATTGAAATTTAATGCTCAATTGATTGAAGTTTTATTATGGCGAAGAGTGACGTGCTTCGCTTGGTCAATAATACACGGACGATCGCTCATCAAAGAAATGCAACATTAAATACACAAAGACGTTTTTCTCTTTCTTTTCTTTTACTAAATTGTTTCGTTTGAAATTATTCTCATAATACCTATGAATAAATACGGGGTAGCATCAAAAAGTTATAAAACAAATAGGTGTTCAAGACGAAAAAATTCACTGTACATACGTATTATACACCTGGCTTTATAAAAGGTTTGTAGTTGATTTATGAACTATGATTTAATTGAAACAGTTTAAAATAATTATTTCTCGCAAACCATTCAGTTTCAATAACATTTTATCCAATTTCTTAGAATTATCTAAAGTGAGGGAATAGTGTCGTTCAAATTCAGGGATAGTAGGGGTATCAATATTAAAAAAAGGGTTCGTCAGTGTCTCGTGTAATTTACTACTACTTGCTAATATACAACAGCATCATTCATTTTGTTATTAATTGCTTTAAAGAACAATGTAAAATAAATGTTTTTGGGAAAAAAAGAAAAAACGGTTAGAGTAGTAGAGGAAGATATCAGCTTTAGGTTGCATAAAGCATTTTTATTGAGTAGGTATTTGTCGTTTTGAGTAGTTTTAAGTGTTAAACATTTAAGTTGATACCCTACTAAAGGTGATGAAGATATTTTGATTGCCCATATTTGTCCTTTTACAATAAGCCAAAAAACAGCTTTAATTTTAAACACAAATACTCATATGAATCGCAAGTTTGTGTAAATGTTTGAGCTAAAGATATATGAAAAGTCTTCAATTCGATTTACCTTTTAGATAGTTCGCGTTTTGTTACATTCCAATTTCTTAAGTGGTTCAAAGATATATCTAAGCGATTGAAAAAGCGCGTTTCACTAATTCAAAGCGGTGTATTAATTGAAACAATTAATAACACAATAATATTTTTCCCTTAAATAAGCTAAAAGAGAGATCTTTCGGTTTTCTTATTCAGATTACAAAATTGTCATCTAAAGAAAGAAAACGGTTTTAATTTTTAACAGAAGTACGCATACGTACCCCAGGTTTACGTGAACGCCGATAACGCCACTGTTCGGATAAAGATACTAGGGAAACATGAAAAGATACGTGAAATGCCTTCAATTTGATTTACCTTGTGCAATTGAAACTTCTAATAATACAATAATTTTTATCAGTTTGAGCTTACAGAAGCGTCTTTCAACTGTTGCACTTGTTTCCAGAAAGAGAGGTATGGCTATTACATTTTATAACCAATCATTCTGGGAGTCTCTTAATGAATTTTCTAAATTTCAGACTTTAAACGGGTTTTCAAAACCAAAAATTCTTCATGGAGATCAACTGATGACATGTTTTCATTGCATTTACCAGACAGTCTTCCGACTTGCTTTTTGTTATAAATGTTACTTCAAGATCCCTGTAGCTTATACGTAATTATTGTATGTACTAATTTTTGTTTGTTTTAAACACCCTGTACATGTATAGCGTACAACAACTGGCTCATGCAAAGGGCGCTGCGTTTCAAAACAGATCGAGGCGCCACAACTACCACCATCCCGACGGGTTCGTTCTTTTTCCCATCGTTCCTTCGACTGGCTCCAGAGTTATACCAGAAACAAACTACACACACACACATGCAAATACATGTTGTGTTGTAACGCACACTCTTACGCGGCGTGTGGTTCTTCTTTTTACATAAACCAGATGCTGACCAACGGGAAACGTCTAGTCCGCCTGACCGATAGGGCAAGACGCGACTTTCAATAATAATGAATTACATACGCAGTCATCTACATCAACAATAAGTATGTATATGCAGATGTTAACATTTTTGTAGTTAAAAAAAACCTGACACACGAAATTTTGTTGATCTTAAAAACTTTAGGGAGAACCGAAATTGAAACACCAATTTTTGATTTGCATTTTGCCTTACCAACAATAGAATTCACAAGAAAGCAATTGGGTAGTTGTGTAATAAGGGTTGTAGATTTTAATGGACCATAGAAAGTCCCATAAGGAAATTGTATTTGAACGTATTTTCTTCTATAGAATAGAAACCTGCAATAAAACGTTGGTGTTTCCATCAAGAAAACTGGAAACTACTGGTATCGAGGGCCCAGACTGCATTTAATGGTCTTCATCGAAACCTACAAATCTTTTTAGGGTCTTTTTTAGTTGGTGGCTTATATGGCGACATATTTGAAATAATAGGTTAAAATAATCCACCCTGTATAGAGCCTGCAATAAAACATTGGTGTTTCCATAAAGAAAATTGGAAACTGTAGAGACGTGTGACATCAAGGGCCCGGACTACATTTAATGGTCTTCATCGAAACCTACCAATTTTTCTAAGGTCTTTTTCGGTTGGTGATTTATATGGCGACATATTGGAAATAATAGGTTAAAATAGTCCACCCTGTATACTGCTTATAGAATATCGGACGATACGTCATCATAACCCAGTGTATTCAGTCACTCAGTATATGGGCTACGATAAGGATTTTTGCGCTATTTTGCGACGCATGTTTTGTATCATCTACACCCTGCAAAGGGTTGTATGGTATCGATACATCACTTAAGTTTATCTTCGTTCACACGGGATATTTTGGTAAGTTGTATACGATATCTCTCAAGCTGATCAGCTAATATACTACAGATTTATTTTATTAGGACAAAATATTCGATGTAAGGCATCCGTCACCACCACGCATAAGTGCATCTAAACTGTGAGAATTGTTCACAAGCTCAATGAAAACCTTTAGGAAAATATTACAAATCTTTTGAAGAAAAAAATTAATTGTGAAAAATAGTCTTAAACTATTGACTACGGAATTGATATCTATAACATCGTAAAACGTAGCATTTTTACAATTGTAAAAAAGCATTTTGCATAGTTTATAGAAGAGCTTACATGCAGCTTTAATGTGATATCTTATTATGATTGATCATTATACATTTACAAGAGACAGCCAAACCGCACATGTTTGTATTGTAATTATTAAATTTGATACAAAACAAATATAGGGTAATACGATAGCTTTGGAGATTCTATTAGGTCTGTAAACTTTGAAACCGAACAACGCTACTATTTTTAAAACTTTTGGGAAAATTAGAAGTAAAATATATCACATATAATATTTTTTTAAAAGATACCAAAAAATGCCGTTTTATCAAACTTTGATTAATGCTTCTATAGTTACAGACCCACAGGATTGCGGTAATAGTACACCAAAAAAGGTAATAATAGAGGTACATGATAATAGTGATAATATATTATTAATTTAAATGTGTCACTTATTCCACCTACAATAGTCAAAATATTAGTAAATATTATTTCTTTATATAAGATGCATTTTAAGTGGCCCGCCGCTATTTAAATTAGGCGTCCAAAAATTAAAGTGACAAAAAGGCAGGCAAGTGGCAATTTGTTACGGAAAACGACTGTTTTGCCTGTTGTCTAGCCGATTCGGCACCTCGGCAATTATCTGCCAAATTTTGTGATGCCAACACTACCCAAGATGTGTTAAAAGAAATATTTAAACGCCCAAAACTGCTAATATTAATACGTATGTATTTCAACCTCGTAAATGCAATCAGTTATGTTGGAGCCAGAGAAAATTCGACATGAGGAAAATTTCTGCTTTACTGTTACACCACTTTTTGTTTCAAATATTTCGCCTCTAGTTTCATATAGATATTACTGTACTTATATCCACCTGATTCAGTTAAAATTTATGGTGGTATGTTCCACTTAAAAATTCCAATTCTCAAAAGAAAATTATAGCAAATTTTGAATTTATGAAAATAAGACAGCTCTATCTAACCAAACTTCCACATTCGAAATCTTTAAGGATTTATACCTAATTCCAAATGAAATAATATAATGTACATATTTATAAAATTCTAAATTTAGTATTCATGTTCATTCATGTAGAAGTCAGAATTGGTGGGAAACCATCAAGACTATTTTTATTTAATTTCAATCGCTGAAAATTACAAAATTACTATAATACCTTCAGCACCTGTAGACAAACGGCTTCAACCGAAACAAGTAATTACCAAAATAATATTTGAATACAATAAGAAATCGTGAAGGTTATGGCTAGTGGTGATTGAGTTCGACATACTCCATGGGGTAGACATCAATGTGGACGTGAATGTAGGCGCCGACCGGACAGGGGTGCATGTGTAGAATACTTATAAAAACGGAACCACTCTCTAATATCGCTAGGTGTATGGTATACATAATGCACCTAATATACATACACCCAACAGGCGCGTTCTTTCCCCGCCCATATCGTAAAACATGAAAAGGACCTTAATAGATCTCTTCTCATATAAATTAGTCCAACTATTTGTAACCACTGGCGTCAGGCTATACCACATCGTATCCCATATGGAATATTTAACGTACCGTTCTACGTCTTTAGCAGAAGAATTAATTAAAAAATTAATTTAAAATTGGCAAAAGTACCTAACCGAGGCTAAAAAGCAGAACAGTATGGATATAATTTGATTTATTAATCCGACTAGAAATTAGAAGCAGGTTAGCCCATATATGTGAGAACCTAATAAGGCTGTCCAGTTTAAGGAATTCCCAGTGAGGTGCTAATAAGGGTTGAATAGAGATATCCGAAATAAGAATATACTTGT